CTGTATTAATTACTTCTCCTTTCATTACTATTTAATGTTGGTAGAATCACTAATAAACACAATCACTAATGAATAAAATGTGACAATGAAGAAAATAAAATTGCTTTTGTCAGGATCTTTGATTAGTGAAAAGTCTATCTTTAAGTTACAATGTGGATAACTCCTTTTATGCGTGAAAACCTAATCTAAAGACTAATATCATAATTATCTACATAAGTCTATCGGAACACTTGGATGCGAGTCCTTAATAGACTTAAAGGAAGAGGAAGAGATTCATTGATTCTGTGTAGTTTCTTCCTGGCTGGGATCCGATAACTTCTTATACTCGTCAGTGCGATTTCTATTCTTTCGTTTATAGCTTCCACTCGCTCTCTTTACCCCTAACTGTGGCCGCGGTTGCCTAGTTGTCAAGGTCATGAACTCGCAACCGATATTATTTCTTAGAGTCTTTGGTTCGAGTCCCGATGTTATCAAAGACTCTCTGTGTAATGGTTTTGACGCACGTTAAATCTGCTGAGGCTTTAATTTCTCCCGTCGTCATGGTGTGGAACTTCGGAGAGATAGGCTCCAGCTCAGGTCGTCATTCAAAATGAATTTTAATTTCAAGAAAGATAAAAGTAAATGTGATTAAAGAGTTAACAAGAATATTAAATATGTAATGTGAAAGAAATGAATTTTAATTTAACATTTATTTTATAATTTTCTAACTAAAGCATTAACATTTCTTTTATTGTATGTGTAATGAATGAAACTGATGTTGTAATTGGAAACAGAGCCGTAAAAAAGTTAAATCAAAGTTATTCTAATAATTGAAGTCAGATGTCTGGTATATGAAGGTTAAATGTGGTATAATAAAATATAATATGATGCTAATATGTTGAATTAACAAGACATAATTAGGTAAAAAGTAAATTAATCAACACTAGCACCTTCTTCGTTGCATGTAAATGAAATTCATCGAGTATATTTATTGCTCTTAAGTAATTATAATCTAATCTACATAAGTCACATTACATTCATTGGGAGATATTATCAATTCAAACAACATCAAAATCCTCAAAATGTTAGTTGAAGAAGGAAACGCGATAGAATCCTTCTATATAGGCTGTGTTTCAATCTCTTGTCAATGGGGGTCTTCATCTTCTTTAGTTCTCAACACAATCATTACACCTGGGAGGATTGCAATCAAGAATCACAAGAATTCAGGTATCTCAAGGATTGTGAAAATTAGGTTACAAATTAAAAACTTACGTTTATGGAGACATTACTTTTCAATCACACCTCGTAATACTAATCACTGTTTTATGCGACACAATAGAAATAGTGCAATTGTTCTCTTCTAGAGCAACGTCAGAATTTAAAACACCTTAATAAAATCCGAAAAGGACTTCCTTTTCGTCAAGTTGATAAAAGCGCTGCAAAAGTGACCGGACAACTATTCTGCGGACTCAGTAGTCGAGGGTTCGAAACGCAGCCTGCATTCAAGTTCAACTGACTCTCTTCGCCACACAGAAGGAAAATTATCTCCTACCTTCCACAACACTCTATAAAAATAATGGATTACAACGTCCCTGGTCATAAAGCTCGTGATTGTGATTTCCCTTCTCTCATGTGCGTATGACTATTGATCCTTTGTCTTATGTATGAGGGCAATTCAATATTTAAACAAACAAATAGCTTTCCAGCAAAAATGGTTTATTAAATTGATACAATTTTTTAATTTTCTTTTTGACGTAATTTCCACAGACTTATCTGCACTTGTCCCATTCTTTTGGGATTCTTCTCATCCTCTCAATGAAGAATTCTTTATCTTGGTCTCGAAGCCAGTTTTGTAATTTTTTTTCTTTACCACTCCGTTGTCATTGAACTTAATGCCATGCAAAGCTTCTTTCATAGAACCAAACAGATAAAAATACATAGGGGCAACGTCAGGGCTGTAAGGAGGATGAGGCAAAAGCTCCCAAGGTCCTTTGCAAATGGTTGTCAGTGCCAACTACGCCATATGAAGTCAAGCGTCGTTTCGCCAAAGAAGCATGCCTTTCCTCGGTCATCTGGGACATTTCCTCTTCAACACAGACTTGACTTATTTCTCTGTCATTAGTAATTTTTGAGTCATCTGTTGATTATGCTTTGTCTCCTAAGGTAATCACAGAAAATCGAACCATGGGCCCTCGGTTCGTCGATGACGCTTTTGTGACAACTCTTAAACTTTTCCAATCCCGCGTAAAAACTTACGCTGTACTCGCAACAACTGTTGAATTCTTTGTTCGTCCGAGAGAATATTTCTGACGATTCCACACTTTCCGGTTGAAAAATACTTTTTTCGAGCGGACACACCATCGTAACTAAGACGTCGATTTATATCTAGGTGATGTTTATGTTGATATATAAACCAAAAAGTTTAATAACACTCTTCGTAAGATTGACAACTAACACTTAGGAAAGTTTCACTTCACTAAAAAGAGTTTCCTTCACTAAAAATATTCGTCAGCTTAAATACTTACATTACTTATGAGGCAAATCTCCACAATTAAAATGTGTTTTTTGCTTTCATTTTCACTTTTCTTCACCTCTTTACCGCGGAATTTGGAGACCACTGACTTCGAATATGAAGATCTCGTTAACACAGTGGTGGAGGTAACAAACTTCATGAACTCTGATGATCAAGTCTAATTGCAAGTAGATTTCTTAGTCCTAATTTTTACCAGCAATTCGTCAAGTGAAGGAATTGTAGTTGCTGCTCATTAAATAGAACTATTGGGTTGTCTAAAAGCTCCCCTACTAATGATTCGTAAATATAAAAACCCTCCCAACCTAATAATTCTTTTAAAATCATGCCTCAAAAATAGAAACTTCTCTATAAGAGTAAATAATGATTTTTGTACGATAAGATCAATTAACGCGGGAATTCTGCAAATATCACATCTTGGACAAGCCCTTTTTAGAGTTTTTATGAACGATAACCAAAACATGACAACATAATTCTCTACATGCATGCAGGCGACACAGCAATACTTGCAAAGCACCGAAGAACAAAGTTATTGGTCATTTCATTAACAGGAACATCACTTACTTAGAAGATTGGCTCCCCAAATGGAAAATTGCCCTGAATGTTTCTAAAAAACGGAGGCTGTCTTTTTCACGAAAACAATTAAAATAATCCCTCCAAATATTTACATTGAATATAGACAAATCCCTTGGCCTCAAACAGCCAAATATCTTGGCGTAATACTTGATAAGAAAAACTCCCATTTGAAAAAGTTGTAACACACATGCAAGGAAAGTTCCTATTAGCCGTGAAGAACTTTTTCCCACTAATTCGTCGGAATTTCACATTAACCATTAAATATTAAATGCTTGTCTATACACAGTTCCTGCGTCCAATTATAACCTACGCTTGTCCAATTTTGAATCAAGCCCCTCAGATTAACCATAATAAAATTGAAATCCTATAAAATAGCATAATACGAATGATCGCACGAGCCAGATGGTTCATGCGAAATGAAGATATTAGAGATTCTCTAAAAATCCCAAAAATTTAATTACCTACAAATAACATAAACTAATAAACCCTCAACGAAATAGAAAATAATCCTAATCCATCCCTTCAAGAAATAAAATTTTATAAACGAACCAATCTCATAAGAGGTTGGAATGGTGCCTTTACGGATCAACTTCTGAAAACTTTCACTAAAATCACAAAATTCTTACATATCCCATTTCAAACCCTACCAACAACCAATAGGAAATCTTTCTCTGTCTCCTAGAGACAGGGGAAGAAAAACCACGCCTAGCAAACAAAAATCTTTCCCAAACTGAGCTAATGTTCTCAGATTGGTCAATCTCAACGCACCTGTACTCCCCTACCCCACTACCAAGGCAAAATTCTCTCTTCACCACGTATTCTAAACTTTAATAAATTTTAAAATAAAAAAAGATAATTTTTTTAAGAACTAAACATCAACTGCTTCAAAAATTAATGATCGCAACCTTTAAAAAAATACACTCAAATATTTTCTAAACTTTAAAATTCTTTAGCAAGCATCCACTTAATTGTCATGGGTGCTCGGAACATAAATCAAGTTGACCTCAGATGGGAGATAAAAGCCCTAAAGAGCTAGGTACTCCAAAATTCCCCTCCACTATATCACAATCCCCTGATCTATTAAAGAAGCAACAAATTTAAAAACATTAACTTTTATGCCAATGGTGAAATGGGTGTATTTGTAATATACAATAGAGAAATACTTTGAACTTGCATCCAGTGTTCAAATTGTAAGCTCTTTTCGTGCAGGCAATACTTAACTCGTTTGAACATATTGAGAAAAGCGTTTAAAGGTGCTGGGACTGACTCCTTTGAATCATTTGAGTAGTATGGCAACTTTCATATTACCTTCAGCTTAGGGATTATTTTCATAAACTTATTTCTTTACATATCCCTACAGAAAACATCAAGGGAATGCTCAAATCAGGGAAACAGGGTGCCCAAAGTTTTCTTGGAATAAATTAATTGCTTAAAAATTTTTGTAGCGTGTCCATGCTTTCATTACTCATATGGCATATTGTGCAATCGTCTTTGAATTAAGAAACTCATTGATGAACTCATTGATTTGAACTAAGAAACCCTGATCTGTGCATTCCCTGATTTTTTCCCTAAGAGGATTTATAAAGGACCGAGTTCAAGAAAATAATTCCCAAGCAATAGATGACCTGAAATTTTTTTTATTTCTCGAACAATACAAGAAGCCACTTCCCAGAATCTTGAGACGTGTTTTTCAAAATATGTAAAAAAGAATTCAGTTTTGCCTTCTAGAAAGGTTCGGACAGTTTGACATGTATATAATAATAAAAAAAAAATTCTACGTTATATTACAAGTGTTTTTCACGATTGGCATAAAAAAAAATTGATTTACAGTTAGTTTTTTGTATAGGAAATTTATGATTAGTTAATACAGGAACGTTTTGGATACTAATCTCGTCATTCAGCCATATTTCAAGTGGCCGCGGTAGCCTAGTGGTCATGGCCGTGAACTCGATGCTGTCGGTTTTCGTCGAGTCGTGGGTTCGAGCTTGTGATGTTACTAAAAACCCGCTGTGTAGCTGATGAAAATTAATTCCATCGAGGTTCAAAGTCCACCCGTGGTGTGTAAGTTAGAGGAAGAGGATTGCAAGTTCCGATGTCGTCCTCGTCACTTGACCGAGGTTCAAAATTACGAAGTTCGTCACCAGTAGCCCTTGTGTTGATTCTAGAGCGACGTTAATAAAACCAACCATCCACAATTCAAAATTTCGAGGCTCATTGTTAGAATTCTTCATATGCTTTTCTGACAATATTTTAATGATAGCAACTAACTAATCATTTGTGAAGCTTTTCTAAGAACTTGGAATGTTTGAAGCTATCTCTAAGCTATGACAATGATTTTGAAGCATTTACCATATTAAAAAGATCAGAGCATCATTTTTATTATTTAGAGAAATGCTTAGTTTTTATTTATTTGTGTGTGTGTAAAAGAGGAAAAATCACATTCCAGCGTCATAAAGACTAACTACTAATATATACAAATTATAAAAACAAAGCATAAATAAAACTATTGGATCATAATTGTAGATATTCAAAATATTAATAAAAAAAACCTTAAGAAGATGAAAACAATTCTTATCTTTCGACAAATGCAACACTTTTATAACAGATTTTAAAATTTGAATTAAGGTAAATATTCGTAAGATATTACGTATATAGTACACAAAGGAAACTTGAGGGGAAATATTCCTTGAGCAATACCATAAGACAATGGATTCCTAAGATGAGCTGATGTAATCAAATGTGTTGGATATATAAAGATGTTATGTGATAAGAATCATCTTAAAGATGTGATGTTATAAAATGCATTGGAAAGTAGAAATGTATCATAACAAGAAATCCTGTTGAATCGGTTTAACTCTATAATATTTTCCAGCAAAACTTAGTTCTACAAACATTAAGAGACTGAATATAAAATCTAAAGCTCTATCTTTTAAACAAAAAGTCACCTGGATACTCCACTAGATATATAATTTTTACATTAAAACGTTTTAAGCTTCGTGAAAATGTGATATAAAATCAGACGGAAAGTAAAAGCTTGTCGTATCAAGAAATCCTGATGAATCAGCTTTATTTCATAATAGAGGTTCGTAATATATATATTTCATAATAGAGGTTCGTAATATATGCGTCGCAGCGCCCTGGAGAGTCACGGCAACTACACAGGGGCGCCTCAGAATCATTTTTTAAATCTTTTAGTAAAATAATAAATAATAAATTTTTTAGCAATCGTGAATTTACAACGTTTAGGGCACTGTGGAGAGACCTTAGTTCAAAAAGAGCGTCGTAAGTTGAAAAATTTGGGAGTTACTTCTATAGCATCTTCCAGAAAAACTCAGCACTACAAGCATTGCTAGATCTACTACATCTTTAAACAAATCCTCTAATTGTTTAAATACATAATATATTAATTTGACATTGAAATTTAAAAAGCTTTGCCCTAAGATTCAAGGACCCTTTTATTTAACTTAAAATACAAAACTCTCATTGTCCATTCCTAGCCATGGATTGAGGCTGGACCTCAAAAAATCAGCGATCCCTTTGTTGTCCATAAAACGAACATTACCACTCTCTTCTTTCACCTAACAATGACCCTCCCCACCTCAACGAATTCAGAACAAGTGGCTGAATCGCTGCTCCCTTCTGTCAACCTCCCCGGGGACCTTCCACCCTACAGAACCCATCTTTTATTCCGCATTTTATCGACGACTGCACAGAAGTCAACCCGAAACCTAAGAGACGCAGTGACGCGGGTGCACACCAACAGTCCAACCTCGTTTTCCATGCTGTTTGGTAGGTGACGAGTGCCTTCAACCAAGAGGAAACTCCCCTCCTTCCCACACACACCACGCGCTGGTTATTTTGCAGACGAGAAACGGTCCGTTTGATTCTTTTTTTTTTTTTTAAATCACAGCCACCATTTTGAAAAGTGTTCGTTGGTGTCCCAAGGGTTAGGGATTGTGATATCTTATGGACGGAGAAGGCAACGGATTTCTTGTTTTTTGGACATGGGAAGAAGAATCCCTCAAGATTTCTCCTGGAAAATGGCTTCGAACACACTTTCGGAAATTTGTTTCGCTTTGTTTACCGCAAAGAAAGAACGCCGAAGAATATTTTGCCAATGAGATTCTTTTATATTGGAAAATTTGAGGGAAACACAAAATACAGTCGAATCTCGTAATAATAAAAAAAAAACCCTCTGCGGACCAAACAAAAAGTTCACAACAGATGTAGGTTCTTTTATCCAATGTTGTAAAATCAGTCAATGTGAGTGAGTAAGTTTAATAGCGCAAGAGCCAGATGTGGCTATGCTGTGCTAAACAAGGTAAAAATGTAATTAGGTGGGTTGGCTTTATTTACGTCACACTGGAAGATAAATGAGGACTATTGGCGATGGACCTCAGAATTTTGAGCTTCAGTCAAGTGACGAGGACGACAACTGAACTGGCCCCTCACTCATTAAATTCCCACACCACGCGTTGGTGATCTCATGCGAGGGCAGGGGTCGTCCGATGCTTGGCTCGGTCGGTTCGTCCGAGTTGTGGATTGACAGATTTAACTTGCATCAGCCCCAGCTACACGCCGAGTCTTTTGAGGCATCAAGGCTCGAACCCATGAATCGACGAAAACTACCGGTCTCGAGTCTGCGACCATGATTACTAGGCTACCACGACCACCAAAATCTGTGATTAGACGCTTGAAAAATGGGGAAAGGGTAATATTTACTTGACAAGAAAAAGGGTCGAAAATAAAGAATGATCGCTAGGGTAAGCCAGGTGCGTATAACCAGTGTTTATCAAAGAGAGTAAACTCCATAGAAAAGAAATTATCACTAGGGTGTCTTAGGTGAGTGATATCCTCAAATTTTAATGAAAGTGAGTCCCTAGGGCAACAATCATTAGCAACATCTAGTTCTTAAGATTTGATATATATATATATCAAAACTAGATTTTGATATGCAAAAAGCTTACTGGGTAATGCTCTTTGATGGATTCCATCCTCTATACGTTTTATTATTTTTATTTCAAACTCTATTAAAAATGTTTTCCTCTTCGCGGAATTTACCATTTTTATCAATTTTTTCATGATACTGCTGAGGTGTAGCAAAATGTCTGTTCAGTCGAAAGCGAACAGCATCTGGAGATAGAAAAGGGGAATAGAACAGACGATGCCACTATGATCTGTACCACTATTGTTCTGATTTTTCAAAGGTTGTTTTTAAGAGATGATTCATAGAAATGGCGGGAATATTAGGGAATTAGGAATGAGATAACGAAACAGTTTTTCATTCCAAGGAACTAGAGGAGTGCCAAACAGTTACTTTTAAGTAGTAGGTTTCAGAATATTAGATCTTAGCAGGTAATAGGTTCCAATATTCAATTGCTGTCAGAATATATGTTCCAAAATCTTATTATTTTCAGAATATATGCTCCTCCAATCTATTACTTTCAGAAAATTTGTGTTCATGCAATCTGTTTCTTTTTAAATAAATATTACATTATTACATTATCATTGAATTATATTCTACTGAATCAATTTTGATTTATATTCTAATACTTCATTAGTATTGGATTATGTTCATCTAACACATTATTTTTTTTAACATAAAAAGTTGGAAAGTTAAATCACACTGCTGCATGAGAAGCATTACAAAAAGTGACAAAATTAATATGCTTTGGTATCGAATATATTACTAACGGAATGGGCTCCAAACACGTAATACTATTATTTATCCAATTACGTGAAATAAGGTCCACACGTACTAGAAACGATGTAGAGAACAGAAAGAACAAGATTTGTGTCAGAATTTTGGAATGCTGTGGATCCTCATTCCTATGTATGAAGTTACCTTCGATAAGTAAAGAAAAATCTATGAAGGGAATTTCAGTTCCCTATAAGTATTTAAAATAACATTAGAGTTAATTATTAATTCCACACCACGCCAAATAGGAACCAAGTTGGGATAACTGAAAAGATCATTATGATCAAGTTTTCACTCTGTTCCGGGTTCACTATAGAGAGGTTCAATGTATTATCATCTTTATGATCAACGAGGATTTGTCATTGAAGTTCCTATGATTTGTCAGGTAAAATCAACGGCTTTTAGATAGATGTTGACAGAGAATTCGTGAAGTTTTTGGACAAGAGATGTTCTTCAAGTTGAATTTTGAAAGTGTAAACATCCATGCTCCACCATAAAAAAAAAAGATTTGTATTTGCATTTTTCTCAAAATGTGCCTTTTTTCGAATGATACTTCTAAACTTCTTTTCTGGTACTCTTTCCCATAACTCTACTTCATCCATAACTCTAATATCTTACACATTAGGAAATGCAATTATTTCCTATACACTGAACATAATTTTTTTTAATAAACACTCACAATTTTTAAAAAATGTAGAATATTTGAATAAAAATTTTGATAAATTTGAAACACGAAATTAAAAAAAAATGAATTTTTTTACATTTAAGCTTTGAAATTATAACTATGATCTGTGTATAAAATACTTAATTACTCCAAATTTGTAAGATTATCAATGGAGTACATTTTATGCAAGATATACCTAAATGTAAGTAGAGCTCATGACTTTGGACAGCGGTTTTCTCTTCACTTACCTCCAAGACTTTACAATTTGAATTGAATACAATTACAACTCCTCTCCAAACGAAATAAAACGGGATTATATAAATAATATGAAGATAAGAAATGAATTGAATTAGAGAATGAATTAGTGATATATAAGCGAAATAGAATTGAAACAAGAGAAAAGGCAGATGGTGGATAACGATACACTCATAGATGATGTATATTGGAGTGTATTCGTCGTATTTAATCGTTTTAATTGATTGTTGTTGTAAGAGTCTTGTTCATAACAATGAGTCGAATCTGTGGCGGTCGGAAAGCGGCAGCGTAGTTTCGAACCCTGGACCAAGGAGTCCGAAGATGACGGGCCTACCAATCAGGCCGAAAAGATATCTCATCGGGCTGGTTGAATAAGGTCTTTTAACTTCTAACGTTGTAG